CTGCCCAATATCACGCGTGATAATGAGGCATTCTTCCCTGCGGTTCATTTTCGGAATTCTGGAATTAACCCAGAACGCCTCGAGAGTTTTGCGCGCTTGTGTTCTCGATTTCTGTGCAAGGATCGTGACCCGTACTTCAAAGTTCTCCCCGTTATGTCTCTGGGTCCTATGAGTGCCTAGTGGGGTATTTGGTTTACGTTTACTGCCTAGATGTCTTTTTATATGGACACAGAGTGGTTTGCACGTTTCCCCGCTCGCTTTACAAGAGATCAGATAGACTGTACTCGAACTCATGCAGTTACTCTCTCTACCATTGGGGCAAATTATGCATTTTTGCGCTGCACATAGAGGGTCGTATAGGCGGTTACGGGCTATCTGGCGTCTTATATTACTCGGTGGCATTTCAATTATCGTTACCGAATTCTGTAGACCGGCCCTTCTTAAACAGCGTTTTATAGCTGCACTTACATCATTTGAGATGAAGAGTAGGATAAACGGGTCCTTTTTATCGCTAGAGTTGTCCTTTAGGGGCCTAGGATTTCCTCTACACCTTTCCCGAGCTACAGTTTCGTAGCCATTAGAAATGGCTATTTGCCGCGCCAAGTTCCAGGACTCCTCTCTCTGCTCTCTTCCCATGCATACGTTGGTTGCTGTTCGAAACATGTTTCTTACAAGCGCCCTTTTCGTATGAGAGGGGAGAGAGGAGAGATAATAAACCAAGTTGTTTTCACTACTTGGCTTTCGGTACCACTTCGTAATGTAGCCATTTTCTGACACGTTAATTTAGGCGTTTAGGAATGGAAGCAAGTTTTGTTTCGGTTCCTCTCGTGTGAACTGAATATACTGTGACTGTTAATTCAGTCTTGTGTTGAACAGATGACAAAACAGTGGTCTATATATCTACAGTAGAGCAATGGCCGGAGATCGGTCGGTTACTGGTGGTTCTACTTTAAACATAAATGCGATGGCAAGGTCGGTGCCAGTGGTTGTCTTGTTGCCAGTCCTCTTATTTGTGCCTAGTACCTCACGCACTATCTGAAGATTGGGTAGTTTGGGCACTCCTTTAAGAGAGCGATAAACTGCTGGACATATAATCGATACCTATTTATTCTTCATTCATGTTCAACAAGAAGTTCGAGAATGGTCTGCGTTGCGCAATCATTTGACACGTTTGTATAGAGGGCGGTGACTTCGAAGAACTCCATCACGTTAGCACTGTTAGGTGACCGGTGACTCCGCTATGCAAGCCAAACTCGAACTCAATATACAACACGGAGGAGAAATAAACACGTATGGCTTAACGGTTCAGGAATTGATGACATTGATGACGTTCATGAAGGTGTGCCTAAACTGCTCAATCCTCAGATGGTTCGAGAGGTATTACGCACAAGTGAGAGTGCTGGCGGTGGGACTGCTACTGGTACCATGGTTTGCCATCGCATTTATGTCTGAAGTGGAACCATCAGTAAACGATATCAGGCCATTATTTTACTGTAGATATATAGACGACTGCTTGTCATTTGCTCAACGCAAGAGGAAATGGACAAATGTCTTGAGTTACTGAATGGACACTCAGAGTATATCAAGTTCATCAAGGAGAAACCGAAAGAAAACTGGCTTCCATTTCTGGAGGTTCAAATTAACCAATCCAAAAACCGTTGCATTAAAAAATGGCACCGAAAGTCAAGTAGTAAAAATACAGTGGTTAATTACCTCTCCTCTCACCCCTCGCACACCAAAAGGGCGCTTGTAAGAAATATGTTTCGAACAGTCACCGGAGTTTGAACAGGAGTAGAAGGAAGAATCTTTGAAATTGGGGTGGCAAACAACCATTTCTAAAGGCTATGAAGCTGTTGCTCCTCGGTATAGGCATAGAGGAAAAATTACGCTCCGAAACGATAACTCTAGCGATAATAAGGTCCCGTTTATCTTGTGCTTCATTTCAAATGGAGTAAGCTTAGCTATAAAACGCTGCTTAGGAAGGTCAGGTCTAGATAATTCGGCAACCTTAATTGAAATGCCACCGAGTACTCTTAAAGGCCAACTAGTTCGTAACCGTCTACGTTCAACGCAAAATTGCATAATTTTTCCCGTTTACCCCGGTGGTAGAGACGGTGATTGCATGACTTCGAGTACAGTCTCTCTGATCTCTTGTAAGGCGTGCGGGGAAGTAAACGTTGGCGAAGTGGGTAAACCACTCTGCGTCCGTATAAAAAGACATCTAGTCGGTAGACATAAACCAAATACCCCACTAAGCATGCATAAGACCCAGAGACATAACAGGGAGGACTTTGAAGTTCGGGTCACGATCCTTGCACAGAAAGCGAGAACACAAGCGCGCAAAACTCTAAAGGCATTATGGATTAATTCCAGGAATCCGAAAATGTACCGCAGGGAGGAATGCCTTATTATCACGCATCATATTGGGCAGTTTATAAGCTTGTTATTTTGATGAGATTGGCACATTACGCTTCCATATAACCTCTGTGCGGTTAGTCTCCACCTGACTTTTCAGTAGAAGACTCATAGGAAGCGATGAGTGTGAAAAGAAGCTACTCTGTGTTCAATGTGATTGAAATTTTAGTTCAGCATTTTCTCTGTTTGGTTATGGAGGTGTTTGGCCGGGTAGATTGCAGTCAACTTCACCTTTACAAGCACTGAGGAAGGGGAAATCCGCCGAAACATCAGCTTGCGCACAAATAAAGAAATGAAATAACACGTCGTGTATCTAGAGTATTAGAACTCTACAGTGTGTATGGTAATTGACCTTCGTCTACCACGAAAAAAGGACTTAAGAAGGGCCGAGACCATGTGACAAGAGTGGTGAAGTAGCTCTCAGGATGAATACGCCTTGTTTGATGAAGATTCGTAGCTGACTTCAACTCGCTGTCTTCGCAGCTGGAAGTCGTTTATTGGAGACAGAGTGATTCCCCGAAATGTCACCGTGTAGGAAACAGACCATTTACGTGGACGATAGTTGCGTGAGAAGGAAGCATTTTGAATTGTACTTGGTTCCGCGCAGTTTATGATGAGAGGTCATCCATATTCCAACGTTTTCGAGTAAACCGTGAGATAAAGAAACTTTGAAGTTTTAAAGAAAATCTTCATGTTTATGAAAAAATTAAAGATTCATTTTCTTGCTAATAAGTTGGCTTTAGTGTTCCGTTCACAAAGAAACCATTTGTTGCCGCTGAGGATAATGAAGAGCAACTGCTAGAATGGGTGACAGCAGATGAACTGCATCATGTTCTCCTCAGTCGAGACAAGTACGGACATGTAGTGAAGGTGGGTTTTGTTTTACTTGGCAGATATCCTGTCTGTAAGTTTGATATTCGGTTTTCAGGAAACATGCGATTCCTCTGTAACAACATATTCATATGATGCCGATCGATTGGTGACCGTGTCATCACCAAAGCTGTTTGTGAATTTCACATGGCAGGGCCCATTGCTTGTGATGACCAGTGAACGTAGACGGACCAGAAGCGGGTAGGGGCCTGTAGTTATTGGAAATCAAAGAGCAATAGTATGGAATCACTGGAGAGAGAAAACGAAGAGACTTTTAGAGTACTGATAGAGTTTGAATCAACTAAATTTGCTAGGAACGCTATTAACAGCCTCGTCAAAATTGTTTATCCATTCATCTATATCATCTGTAGTATTTCGTAATTGTTGTGTCCCTGTGCTACCGAATAGGCTGCGCCGGCTAAAGCGACATGAAGAGTCTCATACTTTTCGTATGAAGTTTTTATTCTTGCTGCATTTGACGAGAGCGTGGCGACGAGTTGAGCGGAGTGCCTATGAGAACTATAAAATCGGGTCATGAGTTTTGTATGATTGTAAGACAAAATGCTGCTTTATTAATCTCAGCCTTGGATATGATCACGTTTAACAATTGTTACGACGATAATTGCTGCGACGCTTGTACTATTGCTTAACCATACGATTGCTTGGGCTTTGTGTGGGGTCAGCATGTCGTTACAAAGTGAGGGAAATGCAACATCTCTAAATATATTTTCAGCAAAGGCCGTATCATGCAAATGGTAACAGAGATCATACTATTTCAGTTGGCGCGATTCGTCTTTCGCTGTTGAACACAACGAGCTTATGCGACCTACGTCGATTCAGGCCGTTATCGCGGGTACAGCAGTTGAGCCGATACAAGTAAATACTCTTCTTCTATATGTATTTCCAAAAAATTCTTTGGCTTTACAAGGACCTTATGGCAAAGGCTCAGCTGCTCATAGTGGACGTAACGAATGAAGGAAAACTATTACAATCCAAAAGTTTTTGGAAGGAACACTACTTTGAAATTCAGCAAAATAGAAATATCTTGTAAACTATCAATTTTCATTCTTGCCTTAGAGAGTTTGATATGGTCGTATTACTTTGTTAGGCGTTATCTATTTGCGTTTATGAATACCCGAAATGGCAAAATGTATAACTTACGAAAAATCGCTTAAATGGTGGACCATGGAAGATCTAAGTGAACATTTCTATTTCGACTTGCTAAGACACTTAGAACTTAACGCTTAAAATCGATCGTTTAAGTTTAAGTTTCCGTATAAGTTGAGCATTTAGTTGTTACTTAATTATTCTGCGCTCGCACTATGAAGTGAAATCAGCCCATGCCGGTCGATTGTCCACACACGGAGCGTATATGCCCGAAGCGGTTTATTTGCCACGTAATTCGAAGTTGCTAGGTGCTTGTAGGCTTTTTCTTGGGCGTGGTTTGTAAGATGTGGTCAGAAAGCGCATATACGCCATACGTTGATACATGTGTAACTATCGCTTACAGTTGTATTGATCGAATACTACATTCTTACACTATGAATCAAGAGTTTAGTAACAAATTTAGGTGGTTCAGGATAACATTTCGCTACGGTGAAACTAATGCAGGTTTGCATGAAAATTTGTAAGTTGGTGAATTTCAGCTTCTCTATGATGAGCGAACAGTATTCATGTCGTCCTATGCTGATTATCAGATACTGCGAGAGTCGACAATGGTTAGAATACACGGGTTCAAGGTATGGTTTGATTTATCAGAGTCATTTTACCGAGTATCTAAGGAATTTTCTGGGTTCTTAAAACCTTCCACATCTGAAGAATTCCGTGGCCTACTTTTTATAGGAGATATTTAATATACCGCTTCACAAATAGCTATGCGGATTTCATTCATAGTATGATGTTTGTGCTTATTTTTGTTGAATTGAATCCTTAGTGACGTGGTGTTAAGACCATCATAACTTGACTTCTACTCATTTCTTTCCTCATGGTTTGTTTGGTCGCACAGAGACGTCTTGCTATTAACCTTGCAGTCATTGCTTACCTAACCACCGATGATGTGACTTTGTTGATATGTGCGATGAATGCGTTTTTACTTTAATCCATAGCCTTGCCTTGCTTACTTGGATATTTGGATGGTCCGTTCTCTCTAATTGTGCGGGACGCGGGAAAATTTCCATTCTTTTGGAGTTTTGCGAACCGTCTCGGCGATACATAGGGGTACCTGGAAAGGCTATTCGCGGGTTCGAACCGTAAATGAGGTTCCGTGATTTGCTGATATCTCAGCAGCTTTACAGCGGTTTTTCATGTAATGTCGTGCCACAAAGATTTGGCGGTAAATAACAGTTAAAACATTGTGTTTTGCTAACAGGCGGACATTTTTATGTAATCTCTGTTGGCCATGTGTTGACAATGTTTCAGCATTTATTTACTGCCTATTCTCTTTTCCTGTTCCTATTTCATCTGACGTTGCGAGTTTCACTCATATCTTAGCATCCTTGTGGTTGTATTTCACATCATACCAAGCCATGGAAAAAGAATACGTAGTACGTAAGAGCTAAAACAAAAAAGAACATAATTAATGCAAGGATTACTCGGACCGGGACTTCAGGGAAGACCCAGAAAATTTGAGTGTTTAATTTTTATTGGTGTAGCGTGAGATTCTGAATTTCAGATGATGCATGAAAGGTCGTTCGATGCGTATAGACAAGTATCCGCTCTAAAAATTGTAGTGGGCGATATCCGATTATCGCTGACGATAGTCCGAGACTTGGCTGGACGAACATCTCACAATATCTGGCGAACACCTACGGATGATTTTAAAGAAATACGAACGTTTGATGTTCAGGGACGCCTTGCGACTTGTGAGATAACTGGGAAAGAAAGGTGAATGCCATGGTTTTATGAGCAGAGTATTTCTTTTTCCGAGCGTTCAAAATGGAAAGGTCACGAATTGCGTCATAAAAGTCCCAAGTTTGTATTACTGACAATTCTAAAAGTCTCTTGTATCTTGTAGGATCTTGTATTTACGAGTAGAATTATATGTCGGTGAAATGAGTATGGCTGGAAAAGCAGCTGCTTGTAGGGAACTAAACTATATTTGTTCATGAAAAACCACTGTTTCATCGCTTATTCGCAGTACCTATTGGCTGTTTTTCGATTTACGAAGAATGTAATGGGTATTCTATTCGTGGGAAGACGGGAGGATGATATGTGCTGTATTTTTAGATTTTTATTCAAATACAACAACGATAGTCGAATAATCTTGATGAATGATGTTTTGTTTGAATGGCATACTGGTGGAGTTCCTAAGAAAGCAGGACGAGCAGAATACGCTGTCGATGGCAACGGATGGACTATTAAGCGAGGTATGGCGTTGTCCTACTGTAAGTAGCATTGAACCAATAAAACCGGTTTGTTGTGGAAAGCACAGATTTTTGAATGTCGTACGCTTTTTGAAAAATCCCAAGTTGTTAAAAGACCTTAGGAGTTCAATACAGTAAACTTTGTTGATACTAGTTTTAGACATATAAATTGCTTGGTAAAAGAGATTGTGACCTATATAGTACCAGTGGTCGACCCATCGTGTTTTTCTCTCACAAAATGCCCGATTATAACTGTTCAGATACTATACAACTACTATTTGTAGTTGTTCAGTTGTAGAAAGCATATTTTTTATACCATGCTGAAGACTCGTATATAGGGCATTGATTTGGAGAAGCTATGGCTTTACTTCTTCAGATCGATTAATAGTGTATGATAATAAGTATGAGAGACATAACTGCGTCACGCAATCATTCTTATCATATCTTTATTTGATTATTTTGTGAAAGCAACTTTATAAGATTGCCGTAGATTCTATCGGCTTTTCCTAAAAACGTGTCTAAAATTACTGACTTTAGGAGACATAGGTTTCGAAATGGATTGTTATGGTCGGTTAGTTGGTGCACGAGGGCCATCGATTGATATGAAGTTTGAATATGACCATCAGTCCCGTCTAATATCCATACGGAACGGAGCGGTGAGTGGATATTGTAACTGTCTGTCGCTTCATTTATTTGATGGTGTTCTGTGTTAACTCTGTGTACTGTTCTTATGCTTTATGTCATGCCTATTCTATTTTGTTTTCAGGTATTTTACTCGCTGTTCTATACGTTGCCACATTTGCCACGCAGCGTGTCGCATTTCCAGTCATCATCTGATTCGTCGGCTACCACAGTTCTCTACACCGAAGAAGGTGTACCGTTCGCGATGAATCGTGATGGATTCAGATATGCGATTGCTGTCGATGATGAAGGTAGTTTGAGGTAAAGGGTCCTATTTCTTTTAAAAATACTACATTGCTGGAAACAGTCCAGTCGACCTTCCCTCCGAGATCGTGTAAAACTAGTTAATAATAATTTTCATGGGGTAATCTCACCTCGGTTAAACGGCTGTATATAGCTTAAAGGGAGGAGAGATTTCCTTGAGTATTCATATTGTCGGAAAATTTTTGTTGAAAATATTTTGAAAGCCGAAGAATTGGATCTTTACCAAAAATTTGAGGAAGTCTACTTAATCGATTGTTTTTTCCACGGGTTTGAGTTTATATTTTTCTACTTGTATTCACGAGTTATTACACTTTTAGGTACGTGCTTAGTGAAACAGGCGTCGAAAAGGAGATTCATCGTGATCCGTTTGGTCGCATCATAATTGACACCCAAGCAAAATTCTGGGTCCCATTGGGTTTCCACGGTGGTAGGTTGTTACTTATCGATTTCCTACTCTGATAACCGCTTCCTTAGCGCGTCTTTTCTTCTGCTTCATTAGCTTTCTTTTTAGGAGTTGACATTCCCGAATTATCTGTGGCGATACTGCCAAATGGCCGACCATACGACACAGTACTCGGTCGTTACATGTCATTTGGCCCCATTCACCTCAGAGGAATTAATTTTGATGATATTCTTCGATCTGTCGACCCTTTTAGTCTGGAACAACCTTCCAATACAGCTTCTTTAACTCCCACAGGTATCACTGCAGTTGTTCGTGGTTTATTTTTCACAATGCGAATGTAAAATAGGCTCTGAAAAGTTGGTATTATCAGACCGTGTTACATCGTACGTGAGATGCTTCATCTAACTAATCTCCTTTAAATGGGAGTTGAATTTAGACATGACGACGTGGTTTCGCTTGGTTGGACTTTCTCCAGTACTTTTACCACCGACTGACCTCCACCTTACTTGTCAGCATAGTGTCTGTACTCGTTCGCTGGCTTCGTTTCCATCGCGCTTACGCACATTCTCGCAACTACCTAGTTTATCCTCAACAGAATTGCTTGACACCTCTTTTGTGGCGATGTATCCATCTGAGGACATCGCTTTCGCCGTTGAAGACGCCGGATTTCATGAATTGCTTGTGCTGACACCCAATGGTCACAAGGCGAGTTTCCGAACCTTAGTAACTTTTTTGTGTGAATAGTAGATTTTTCAGTTTTACAGCCTTTTTTTTCTCAAATTAACGCTGAGATAGTGATTGAAGGCTTCGTAAGCGTTTTTTTCTCAGACCACTGTCGACGCCCTTCCTCTTCTTAGTACCAATGAGTCAGATCTCATCAAATCAATCGTGGAACCAGCACAAGAGGTCGGTTTTATGGAAGAGTACCATTGACTTTTCGGACAATTCTTGCTATATTTTGAAAACCGACTGTTCTTTAACCTCGGTATGACTAACATGTAGCGACATGTACTTTTTTATTGATTTACTAAAACAAATTAAATAAAAGGAGTTCTTGCTGTATTCCGCTAGTACGAAACTTCTTTAGACTAATTGGCGCGTTTTCGGCACGTCGTGGGAACGTCATCTCGTACGTCCGGATGATGTTCCAAGTTCTCTGACTTCTTTATCAATGCCTCATTTTACACTGGTCGTCTCACGTGGTACTGCTGAGCTTCGAAATGGAAAAACAAAGATCTTTGTGCATTTCTCGTCCGATGCGGTATGTGAATATGTACCATGTAGAACAACTGGTTTTCTAATATTTTGTTTCCTTTAAATCCATTCATCATTTTTTCAAAAGAAATGTCACAATATCGGTAGTCCTTTGTAAGTTTCTAGTTCAGCTTTTAAATACCAAAAAAACCACTTATTATAAAGTATGAGGCATCATATTACCTTAAGAGTGAGATTTAATTGAAAACTAGTTGGATAACCACAGTGCTGCTGAGATATTTGAAAAACTTCGGACCGCTGATGTCTGCAGTGGGGACCGAACACTCTATTACCCTTTCCGGCTAATTGGATAATTCTAAAAGACTGGAAAATTACTGTTCCATAGATTGATTCTTTCCATATTCAGGACACGGTGAACAAAGTACTCATGGAGGATTTTCGCAGACGAGAAGGTCCGACAGTTTGGAGGGCAGAGCGTAAACGGGTAGAACGTGGTGAAAGTACACAACCGTGGACACAACAAGAGAAGCGGTAGGCGTGGATTATCTAAATTAGCAGAGGAGTCTGATATCTGAAACCGTATCATATCATACCATACGTATCATACCGAAACCGTTTGATCGTTTTGTTTCTAATCTCTGAGAACTGGATTCTCTTGGACCAAACTTTACCAGATTATGAGAAACTATTGAAGGGAACTTCTCTCAAAAGGCGCCGTTACGGGGTACACGATCGAAATGGACAATTCGCTACGAGCACGATTCTCATCTGTGCACATTTGGCGTTTCGTCAAAGCGTTCTAGGTTTTCAGGGTTATTGTTGATTTTTTTGCCATATGTACATGTTATACACTCTTATTCTTTCGTCACTCATTGCTCCGGGTCTAGCGTATTTACTAGTTTTTACTAAACTGCGTACAGTTTTCGATTAAAAGCTCAAAACGTTACACGCAAAGTGTCCATGATATGTGGCCATGGAACGACCATATTTATATGTTTATATACTTAAATTTTATTGAGAGTACTCTGTTCTGATCTATTCAATCGGTGCTGATATGCTTTAAAAGACGCATTTCTTACTCTTTCATAATGTCGGCTTTAAGCTGTTGAATAATATGTGATGAAATGAACACTATCTGCAGGAATAACGTCGGTTAAGTGCTGAAGTCATTGTTAATAATTTTTACATTGTTAATAGAAGAGATATAAAATTATTCAATGATTCTGTTCGGCTTCACGTCCGAGTTTATTTTTGGGAACATAAACATAATAGCTTTAGGCTAGACTATTACAGATAAGACAGGATAGGCTGAGAGAAAGGCGAAACGAAGGACTCGCGTGCTGTGGTGGTGAACGCGTTATTCCCCGGAAAGGACAGTAGGGCGTTCGTTCACCACCGAAGACACCTGCGCTCCGGAGTTTTGCAAATTACATATCTTGCCATTGAAAAAGAATAGGCAGTAAATAAGTGATGAAATAGTAAGCTTTTATTTTTTCTCGGTGCTAAATACAGTGTTATCACGAAACAGGCAATCAAAAACAGAAGAAAGGCTTTAACACAGGTTTATTTTATAACCTAACATGCAAAGCGCAGAAATCTAATGTAGTAAGCAATTCTGTATAGATGTTATTCACGTTACCACAATCAAATCTCGTCAGTGGACTATCGACAATTAAACAGAGGTGATGAGCATCTTAAAGAATGGCGACACCTTCAGTTACTCTAAGTAACGGCAACATTGCAGACTGTTGCATTGATATACCAATTCCTACCACGCAACAAAGTGCTTAAGTGCATTGTCACTGCACCTATTAGGGACCTTTTCATTGAGCTTAGAAGTAGGCAAGGCCGGCAATACAGATGTTAATCTAGCGTTCGTGCATCCCTTTTTTGTGTAGGCACTTTAACGACAATAGTTTCAGAATCATTCGACTCCACTTGAACCTGGAAATTTGCTCCTAACAAATCTAAAAAGAAATGGCGCGTGAGAACGAAACTATTAAAGCCGTAACGATGAACTGAAGGAGTGAGGATTGCCGAACCTGACAACCTAGGCGTGAATAGTCGCTTAGTTCAGGAGCGAGGTCAAGAAGGTCTAATTCTTCTTCTCCGGCTGGATTAACCTGATCAACGCGATCAAAATGCTCTGGTGACAGAATAACATGGCATGTACAACATGCTAGTGTTCCTTAAACTTCATAAATACATATTGTCGTGAAAATCAAGTCAAAGAAAACCTTCGGTTGTTAAAGCCAAAACAATTTATATGAATATCGAAACTATATGTTACTATAAATCTCGAAATAGAATGAGTTACCGACTTCCTTTTAAACATTATGGGCTAGTGCAAAAGTTCACGCCATTTGTACCGCACTGGCGACATTCAATCGCAAGTCCTGTTGGCTATAAACTTTAATACTTCGAAACCGACTTTCCTTGAACCTCGGTACCACTAATTAATATGTATTCTTTCTTTGATAAGCTTACACAAGGTTGATAATGATATTTATTTTCGGCTAACCGTTTCGACGTCTTCGTCTTCCTCAGAGCCGATCATCCGAGTCGATGGTCCATGCTTGTTTAACATTTGTATCTTGATAGGATTCCATTTCAACTCACATACAAAAAATGAAAACAGCGTGATTAAGTATATTTCATACATTCTACGAAAAGTTACAAGGAGGAAAGTAGGGAGCGTTATCGATAAGGGTGATCCTTCATTTTCCGAAAGGCAATAACGAAACGCACACTCATAGGTGGATGGATATGCACTTATCCGGTGAGAGTACCACTGACGATATGTCGTAATCCTGACGATTTTGTTAGCGAAATTTCAATATCGACGATACTCAAGCCTCTTGACAGTTTTTCAAGACTAAAGTGAAGAAGTTTTTACATTGGGTAAAGCGGGAGTATTACGAACGAGAACGCACAGAAATACATGATGTTTGTCATACTTAGTATTTCGAGGTGATTAACTATAACGCGAAATGATCGAGTAACCCGATGCACGACTACATAAATGGTGTCAGTCGAAGAAAATCTTGCGGTCTTTTCCTCACCAAAACTTAATTCATTTTCGGAAACACAGCATTGCATCTAAGAATTGAGAAAGGTGTCTTGTACTAAAAGCTACAACCAAAGGAAGCAAACTACTAATCTGGAGAAGTGCTACTAAGAATTGATGAAACTGGAGCGAGTAAGCACTCAAAAAGAATAAGTAGGAATAACATCGGAGAAGGTCTGTGTTTTCAACACAACAGCACACGTCTCTTTGGTACCACGCAGAAATAATCTGGGTCATTGCTTTTCTCACAAATATCTCAGAAACACGATCAATCATTGGAAAGACGACAGAAAACTTGAACGAAACACCTCACACATGTTCATTAATCGTACTTCCAATAAAAAAGGGGCACGTGTACCGCATTAGTCGGAGGCACCCTGGAAAACGTATGGCCCGCGCTCCCAGTTCACCTTGCCTTCCATCACTCCGGGGTCGGTAGATTGGTACTAGACTTATTTGCGAGGACAGCAGTACTGGCTACAACAGGCTACCGCGACTCACTGTAAAGACCATATTTGCATTCAGTCACCTCCAACAATTTTTAATGAAGTCTAATGCATAGCGCATTCCTTAGGGATCGATCAACGCCGAGAGCTTTTCCATTTCTACCCTTTTTTATCCAGAAAAAAACATATAGACACATATTTTAAGATATTGCCCTCTACATTTCAGTCCTTGAAGTATCGACCGCTCGAGGAGGCAACGTCCACCAAAGAGCAGATAATATTGGATGGTGGGACGTAATCGACCTATACCTCTCCTGTACGAAAAAGAACGCGGATCAAAGCACCTCATTCGAGCGGTGATCTTTCCATTTGATTCGATTGGATGCAACGAGCACCCATATGGCCATAACAACCAACCGTGGACCATCGACTGGGACCAATGCGGCTCTGAGGAAGGCAAAGACGCGGAAAAGTTAGCCGAATATAAGAGGCTGATATATAGTCTTTATTCGGCTAACGTTTCGACGTCTTCGCCTTCATAAGAGCCCATGATTCAAGTCCATGGTCCACAAGTGCTAGTCTTCTCGTTGTGGCGTCTTCATCTTCGTAACGAGTCGGATTTTCCCCACTGGACCATCTTTATAATGAGGCATACTCACTTGACGATCGCTACTATCAACAACCAGTATCTTGCATAAAAGAGCATCACTGGTGAGTATGCCTCACTCGAGGGATGCTCCAGTGAGGCAGATCCGACTAGATACAAAGGTGGAGACGTCACATCGAGAAGACTGGCACTTGTGGACCATTGGCTCGAATCATAGGCTCTGATGAAGACGAAGACGTCGAATAGCCAAATAAACATTTTTATCAAACTCATGCTAGCTTCTCAAGAATAGATGTCTGTTGATGCGTCGTTTTCTTGTTCAGCAATCGCGGGGTTCTTGTATGGCATACATTTACTTCCACACAAAAACACGCAATACATTAGTAGCTGAAGTTTCGGCAGTATCGCCTTCTTCAGATCCGCTTATAACGTAACTTCCACTGATGAAGATAAGAACAGATGATTATAGTAATCAACCGTATGCGATTATAATCAGCTGTTATATTCTTTCTCAGTGGAAGTTACGTTAAAAGCGGCACTGGAGAAGGTGATACTGCCAAAACGTCGGCTACTAATGCATTCTGTGTTACTGTAGGAAAGTAAATGTATGCTGTACAACCCCGCGATTGCTGAACAGGAAAACGACGCATTTATAAATCATGTCTGTAGAGTTTTAGTAAAAAGAAACTCTAGGAACCTTTGCACCAGCTCAACATTTCTACTACTTCCAGCGAATTTCATGGCCATACTATAGAATAGTGTTTGAACATTATGATATATAAAGCCAAAAGTCGTATTAAGAATATGAATCAACCAAGGTTTTAACTAGATTCTGGCGTAAATAAAGAACAATAACAGATCTGTAGTGGAAGAGAAAGAAACGGTGGATTTCTAGCTAGAAAATTTGTATACGAAAATATACTTGACTTGTAGATATGACAAGTAGTAGATATGGCGAATAACGATGGATTTAAGTATACCAAACGTATCGAAAGCAATTCCAGACTAATATCTATTCCTCCGCAAAAAAATACAATAATCTAGAAAGAAAACATGACTGAGAGTGTAACAGTGGAGTGGTAGCACTATTCAGTGGCAACGATATACACTGTTGTAGATCCTATCGAACTCTTAACGGGAATCCACTTGTGGAGACATCAGACTCAATAAAACTAACCTTCGCAAGCACCAAAACCATCCAATGCCAAATCGTTATCCACAACAACATCCAATAAGGTGTCCCCAAGCTAAAACTGTGAGTTGAGGGATCAATAAAAATGTGCAGAAGTAGCAATTTTAAAGTCCGCTCCTAGGTTCGATTTTCTATTAACCTCGGCATTGGAGTAGGAATGCGTCGTTTTCTTGTTCAGCAATGGCGAGGTTGTTATAAAGCATACATTCACTTCCATAGGAAAACACAATACAATACAACAGCAGCTGACGTTTCGGCAGTATCGCCATCTTCACAGCCGCTTTTTCGTGACTTGGACGGACTCGTGATTGGAAGTCACGAAAAAAGCGGCTGTGAAGATGGCGATACTGCCGAAACGTCGGCTACTGTTGTAGTGCATTGTTTTTATATGAAAGTAAACGTATGCTGTATAAAAAACTCGCGATTGCTGAACAAGAAGACGACGTAGTCCAGACCTATTTATACGATAAGATTGTCGTCTTTGCTTGTTGTGAATCAAATCAAACGTCAGTGTACCCACTAAGACTTTGACTAAATAAGCCACATTACATGCTTCCAGAGCTGTAGGTTACGTGTACGGCCTTTAGTAATGTTTAAGAAAACTCACCTTTGCTGTTCCAACAAACTTCTCATCTCCACATATGAACTCGACTTTCTTCGCAGATGAAAGACGTACAGAAGATGAAATATGACTAGAGATGACACGAGGAGATCCAGAAGTTGAAATAGAAAGGTATGAACAACTACGTAATAACGAGAATAGCGTCCGCCCAGATAACATTCTCCGGCAAAGTCCAGTCTGCAACAAGAGATTAAAGTGCTCATCACAAGAAAACAGGGAGAAAGGTAAATATGCGAAGACTAACAAAGAAGGAGAAGACATAACAGCTGTTTTTGTTAGCACTTCCGGGCCACTCACCAGTAGAACTATGTACCTAACGAAAACCACAAGTACCAGCTGTACAGCAATCAATAGAAATCATCGGAAAAACCAGTAGTACCTCCATCCATCGTCGACCACTCATTGGCCACAAAAAGCATAGATTGTAAAGACGCCCAGCTCATAAAATCCAGGAATAAATACGGCATAGTAAAGGAATTCCAGCCACTCCCGAAGAAAGGATAAAGTTCTCAGCGTTGATCAATTCGTGAGGGATGCGCCATGCATTCCAGTTCATTAAGTATCGTTGGAGGTGATTAGATGCATACCTGGCCTTTACAACGACTCGCGTTGGCCCACCGATGTATCCATCCAGTGCAGCTATCCTCCCAGACAAGTGTGGTAGCAACGTGCCGACCTTGGAGGGATGGAAGGATGGGTGAAGGAATCGATCCTATGTGTATTTCAGGGCGCTTTTAGCCACTGTGTCCCAAAAAGAAAAGATAGAATGAGGAAAAAATGAGGAACATATCAGCGATGAAAGCGACTCTCCCCCAAGCTTTTTTTACTCAAACAGAAGCTCAGAAAATCGAAGCTCCTTGGAATAAGATCAGATAGCACTGGAATTAAAGGTGCGAAACTCGTTACCGAGTTAGAGCGCGTTATCCTCCCTTGTATTAAACGACTGTGTGTAAATTGCAATTTTTACATGGAACAAAGTCATTGATGGAATGGAAGCTGGTTTTATCTCCTCCAGCGTAATACAAAGACAAATAGACAGAACAAAGTAAAAATTAAAAACAGAACGAGGAATAAAGATGCTGACTTCTCTTTCACATGGGCTAACCACGTTTTTATCGTTGGTAGGGCAGTGATAATAAATTTCGAAGCGTTGAGATCATATGTATCACCCATAACATTATTAGTCATCCTGTAACTCGAAAGAACACTCGTAAAGTCACCATTTTTCCATGACGTGGTACAGCTGTTAATGATCTACGAACCACACATTTGTACAAAAATCACCACAAATCAACCAATTGTGTCACGTGTCGTTCGTTGATCGTCGAGTGATTCAACCGGGCTCCAGTGAATTTTCCATTTTGGCCTGACGAGTGCGAGAATAACCTAGTGGGTTCTGCTCTCTCTAGGGACTCGTTAAGCATCATATCTTTCTTCTAGGCTTTTCGTGAAGAACCTTGACCATCGGGACGGTGGTCTTCATCTAGTGCGTTTGAGATCCAGAGGAATCCAGTCACTAACGGCTCTTATCCATCGTTTGTCGTTCGTACGCATTACGTGTTCGGCCAATCTCATTTTCGACAGTTTGACGTATAGAACGGCTTCTCGGATTCATGACCTTTCACTTAGATCGGAGCTTCGGATCCCTTCCCTTACTTGCGTGACATGGGGTACTCCTAACGTCGTCCCTTCGACTACATGTTCGATAACGCTGACTGATCTTTCATCCTGCTTACGCAGCGACCATGTTTCTGACGCATACATTAGGGCAGGAAAGACCGTTGAATCGAAAAGGTGGGCACGGAGTCGGTGTTCTTTGTTCTCTTCACTACATCCTCGACGCTCTTGAAAGCTCCTCAAGTCGTTCGTTTCCTTCTGTTCAACTCCGGAACTAAGTCGTTCATCATTTCCTAGGTAGATTTCCTGGCCTTGGTAGACATAAGTGGAGCATTCAGAGATATTCGTTCCGTTGAGCGTGAATGGTGCATACGAAATCAATCCGTTCCTCATGAACATCGTTCTTGTGAGATTTAGTCGAAGACCAATCTTTCCGTCCACAGCCTTTATTAAAGTGCGTTCTCATTTATGCGGAGTGTATTCTACGAATCAATTCGGCCAAATGCCTGCATTCAAGTGACAGGGAAGTAGATGTGAGGCGGTTAGAGGCTACTTACAAGAAATAAGGTCCGTGTCTACTAAGGAAGAGACTGGCAATCTATCCATGATTATCCTCTCCATTATCCATTATCCAGCCAACACGTTCAGAGCCCAGAAAGCTATACGTGGGTATCAAAATGCTGAAAACAGTAGAAGAAACGGGACTCATTCACCTGACCCCGAAACAGCCCCAATTCGGTCGGCAGCGTTGCCTAAGACGAATACGAAGAGGCTGCTAAAATCTCAGGGCCACTGTGCTGCCTAGATCGCAAAGGATTAAGGCGACGATCTGTACCTACAATGCACGCAAAAAACATGAGTTTTCGACAGGAGATATGATCATGGAAGCAAGCAGGACAAGGTATGACGTCATAGGACTGGCCGCGACTAGACGTCGCTACCATCTAACGCCTTCTATGACACCGAAGAAGAGCTGTTCCTCGAAATATGCGACAGCAGAGGAGTTGGCCGCGGCGGCAGCGTCCACGTCAACACGAGTTTGTCCATGAACATCGATTCTTTCGAACAACCTGAGTTGGACGCTTGCGACTGATAGATTTGGATCAGTACCGAGTTTTACAATCTACATCGTTTACGCGCCGACATCAAACTTTGACGAAGAAGAAGTCGAAGTGTTCTACATGGACTTGGAGAAGTTCTGCAGAGAAGACCACATTTTCTTCAAGATCATCATTGGAGCTTTTAACGCCAAGATTGGACCAAGAAGAACGTCTGAAAAACGTCACATTGCGACCCACGGACTAGAATGGAACGAACAAGGTGAGCGGCTCTTTGAGTTTATCAGGACGACCTAGACAATCCATGGTAACCCGCAATTCCAGAAGCCGCACACTCAGCGCTGGATGTGGGAGTCTCCCAATGGAGAGTACCATAAAGAAATAGACCACATCATAGTAAATAGAATGTTTTGCCTAACCGATGTCGCTGTTGTCCGGAAATTCTACACGGGATCAAACCACTGCCTCCTTCGTGTAGGATTTAATTTTTTGTGGGAAGGACAAAAGGCCGCTAAATTCAAAAAACGAATTCCAAAAACCACCATAAACTGGGACTTATTCAATTCACTAGTCGGCTGTTGGGAAGATTCCGGTGTTGATGACGTCGACGAGGAATACGATCGGCTCATTCAAAATTTTGAAGTTAGAGCTATGAAAGTAGAGAGTTCGTGAGTGAGCAAGAGATGCCTGTCTCCAGAAAAACACGAGCTAGTATGCCAGCACAGAATTGCACGAGCTACAGACAACTGCCAACTCACGTTCGAACTTGCAAAACGATGTAAGCGGACGATAAAAGAAATGTTAAAAAGAGACGAGCATCAGTTATGGTTGAAGCAACAGAGGCTGGGAAAAGCATTTGCAAAGCCCACCGAAGCTTCGCCAATTACAAGGCAAAGATGATTGTACTTCGACGCCCAGACGGAACAGTTATAGTGTCCAGAAAGGCAAATCAGTCATGAATACTACTCAGATCTCTTCGATAGCCACGTCCACCTTTCGTCATATGAAATAAAGGTGGATGGATAAGTTGTACCACCGGTTCTCCCTTCCGAAATCCAACATGCGACTTCGTCGGTGAAAAATCGAACAAGCACCAGGACCAGACAACCTAAGGTCTAAACTACTGTTGGGATTGGAACTAATCCCTTGAAAGCTATGGTATCTTGTAGAAGGAAGCCTCTGCAAGTGGTATAAAATACGTCAAGATTATACTGCTCCTGTTAACAAAGTTACACAAGCACTGCAGAACCTAACTGAACAGCAATCATGGAAGGATTCCTGAACATTGGAGTCACCGGGATCTCAAGACTTTAGCGAAGCAAATAGACAAGAGAAACAAAAGCAGGACATTCCCATCAGGAAACTGTTTTAAAAACCATAGAGAACCGACAAGATGGTCACAATGTGCGCTATGCGTGGGAAGACTACGTAGAACATTGAGAAACAACAATGGCGTATCGATATAGCGGCTACAAGCAATAATAGTCGATTTGAAACAAATTCCTATCATTCCGTAAAAGTTCCATAAAACCATTACCAGGCTACAAAACCAAGAATTGTCTATGGCACAGCATCATCACATCTAGAAAAGGCACTATTACTAAACGAAGTACTGCGTCAAAGACCTGTCCTCCTGCCGCATATACGTGACGCTTTGCTTCGCTTCCGTTTCGGAAATGTCGCAGTAGATGATGATGTCGAAAACTTTCCTGCAGATACGATTACTTGAGCAAATAGAAATACCATACGGTTTCCTTTGATGCGGGACATCTTCAAGAAATTCGAACTAAGTACCATGGCAGTGTACAGATTCACATGCGTTACTTTTGTTCTAAGCTTATCCCCGTTTTTCATCTCTGGAACATACAAATATCACTTAAACAACTGCGTAAATATTCCAGAATTAATCAGAGCCTTCGTCAAAAGTACATATGTGGACAACGCCATTCTAGTGGCTACATCAATGCAAGAGGCGTTAGCGACGTACAAAGAATCGAAGTAAACATTCAACGGCTTGGCATGAACTTACGAGAACTCCTACCAAACGATCAACGCCTCATGCGGCAAATCTCCTCGAAGAACGCATCATCAAATATCTAACAAACAGGTTTTGAAAAAACGTGGTCTTCTGAAAAATGTAAACCCTTCGTTTCATGCAAATATCCAGAAAAGAAGACAAAACTGGTCAAGCGTACGATAGCCGGACAAGTAGCTTCTGTCTCATATCCAATGGGACGGCTGACTCCATTTGCATTAAGAGTGGAGCTATTCCGTCAAGAGGTGTGAAATTTTGAGCGTGCTTGGAACTCGCCATTTTGAAAGGAACATATGGGTCAGTGGAACAAATTGGCGGGAGATTTCCACGGATTTGAAGCCTCTATTCCATGGAAAATTGCTCAAATTGGAGTCCCAAACGAACCAATACTCTTCAGGGGCGCCAGGAAACAATGCACGGTCAATTGTGCTTACATCATACGAAAGACA